TGGAGGGGATTATAATCAATGTAATGAAACAAGTTATATGAATGGTTGAATGTGAAACTGATGATGCGCCCTGTAAACTTTCACTCAATCCACAACGAAAACCTTAAATTAAAAAAAAAAAAAAAAAAGCATCAGGAAACAGCAATATGCACGTTATTTAGAAATATTGAGGTAAATACCAAAAGAAACAACTAGAGTCTAAAAGGACTGCCTTTATGGAACAAGCATGGACTCCTGGTGTGGCGCTGTAGGATCAGCACTGGGCTGGTAACCAAAGGTTGGAAGTTCAAACCCACCAGCTGCTCCTTGGAAGCCCTACACAGAGCTGCTATTAGTCAGGACCAATGCAACAACAATGGAACAATGGAGACAGCAGGGAGGGACAGGGTAGGAAAGTGTGGTGTTTCATTCATTATGAGGTTCCTAGTGCAATTTGAAGTGGAGTCCTGGTGTGGTGCTGTGACTTAATGTGTCAGACTGCAAAGTCGTTTGAACTGCAAGGTCGGTGGTTCAAGCTCACCAGCTGCTCCTTGGAAACCCTACACAAGGTCACTATGGGTCGGAATCGACTCAACAGTGCTTAACAATAAGAAGTGCAATTTGAATGAGCTCTGGTAGCATAGTGGTTACAAATCAGGCTGCTAATCTCACGGTCAGCAGTTCGAAACTACCAGCTGTTCCACGGGAGAAAGATTAGGCTTTCTGATCCTGTAAAGATTTACAGCCTCGGAAACCCTGTACAGGGTCACTATGAGTCTGAACTGACTCCATGGCACATAACAACAACAATAATGCAATTTGACTTTTTAAGTCGGTGTATGGGAGGGTTTAAAAAAAATCTGTGGAAAACTGCAATGAAAAGATTAGTGGGGGGAAAAAAAGATAATGGAATTTTTTCACGAACTTTTTAAAGCCCCCTAGTACTTATATTACTCTGAAAACAAAGCAAACAAAATTATTTTCTTAAGTTTAAGTAAGAAAAATGTATCGTATTTTAAGAGAACAAATTAAACAAAAAAGTAGTGGCCAAGATGTGAGGATACAATTTTATCTTGAATAACTGGAGAGGTTGCTAACACAACCACATGTTATGAATGTTTAAGGAGTAAAAAGAACAAGTTTAAAATCAGTAGGTACTTGCTTAAAAGAAAATGGTGTTTAAGTTTGTCCCTAGATGTAAGGCAGCACTCAGAAAAGATGTTCAGAAGTCTAGTGAACATCTTCTCTCTCATCAGCGCCCAGTGCTAGCAGCTATAGACAGGAAGGCGAATGGTCCCAGGGTTAACACCATAGGTGAGGAGGTAAAACTTCTCTTCAAAGCAGAAAGGAAAACCAAAGTTTAGGTAAACAATGGTCTCTAATAGTTCATTGTAATGGAAAACCCACCAATCTATGCCTAGGTATTCATATTTGTTTACACCATGACTGATCTTATTATGGAGTCCTGGGTAGTGCTGAGGATTAAGGCGCTGCACTGCAAGGTTAGTTTGAGTCACAAGGTAAGCGGTTCAAGTTCACCAGCTGCTCCTTGGAAACCATATACAAGGTTGCTATGAGTCAGCACTTAACAACAACAAAAACATCTTACTATAGTTAGTCAAATTACAAATCATGTTATTATTAAATACTCTTTACTAAAATGAAAATGGGAGAGTTAAGCTTCAGAGTTTCTTTGGGCACCAATGCCTAAGAAAGGTGGAAAAGGTGAAACTCCAGTCAAGATGTAGGTGCCATAGCTCATCAGATGCCTGCTACACTAAGCTGAGTCTTTCGGAGGAATAACCGTAATAAGCTTCTATAGGGCTCTTCTTGGAACTTCAAAGCTGGACCTCAAATCTTGATAGCGTTTACGATGATTCACAAGTACAATCATGCTCACCTCCAGCATCATACATGCTCTTCCCTCTTCTGAAACCCTCGCCTCTTTCCCAGTCACCTAATGTATCATTCAGGTCTTAGCTTTGACTGACTGCACTTCTCAGAAGTCATCTCTTGAGTCCCAAGTACTAATGAAATATCTTTTTAATGGTCCTCTAGAACCCTGGGCACACCTGCACTGTAATTACCTTCTTACTTGTTATGGCCCACAATTCTCTGAGCTCCAGGAGAGCAGGGGAACTTGCCAGAAATGTCTGTCATTGTGATTTCAGCAATGAGCACAGTTAGTAGCACATAATATCCACTCAAAAGACGAGGAAAAACTCCTGTTAAAGAGTCAACTTATCATTGGTACTCAAATGCTGCCAACAGTACATACACTTAAACAGCAAAAACCCCAAAAAACTAACAAGGTGCTCTTGATGCTAGGTAGTCTATTCCACTAGTAGAGTGTGTGAACACAGAATTTTGGATAAGAATTTATAAATGGATGCTTGCTGATTGGGAAAGGTTAAAAAGATAGTGTTGTTGTTAAGTACCATCAATTTAGTTGTTGTTGTTAAGTGCCATCGAGTCGGTTCCGATCCATAGCGACCCTGTACAGGGTTTCCGAGGGTGCAAATCTTTACGGGAATAGAAAGCCTCATCTTTCTCTCACGGAGTGGCTGGTAGTTTCGAACCGCTGACCTTAAGGTTAGCAGCCCGATTCGTAACCACTACGCTACCAGAGCTCCATCAATTTAGTAGGAAAACTAAATTAAGGTGTTCAGCAATACTAGGTTATTAAATTTTTACACAAAACCATTTTAGAAAAAGTATCATAGACATTACCTCAGAATCTGTTTTCAATTGTGTGATATAAAGTTTTCTCCTCCGATTTGCTTTTTTATCTTGAATAACAATTTCACGCCAACTTCTGCTTACTCTCCAAACACTAGAACAAAAAGATCAGTCCTTATATATACACACTGCAAGAATAACATGCTGTGTGTATGGTAATTAATAAGAAAAACTCATTTAAAGATTTAGGATAGTACATTCAAACATAAATTTACCTTTATTGACTTGCCCAATATCATGATATGGAAGAGTTCCTATTAAAATATTAGCAATGCATAGGCATTATGCTGATAGATTACTATGTTATAAATGGTAACGGAAAAAAGTTTCTTATAAAACCAATGTGAGTCCAAGGGAAATTACTTAAGAAATTTAACTTCAAATGTGGCTCTGAGTTTAAAATTTTGGAACATGATATGATGCAAATGGCTTATATGTAGCTCAAGAGGTTTTATCAGTTTATCCTACTGTTTTATTTTTTAAATCTGTTACTTTGATTATGTAGATAACTATGAGAACTTAACCCTTCATTGGAACTATTATGTGTCACATAATAAAAATTACGACAAATAGCACAAGTGATTTCATTTGGACATTTTTAGAAAGCACATAGAAATGGGTACATTAATGTTTATTGTGTTGCTTATGGGAACACCAAACACATTCCCAATCAGCTGTACTCTGAAGGGCAATGAAGCTTATTAGAGTCAGTGGGAAAATGCTGGATTGGAAATCAGAGAGCTTCTTGTAGAGCTGGATCCATTCCTATGTCCTTGAGAGACTCACAGCAAACTTCCCTTGGACTCAGTTGCCTCATCTGCAAAATATGTAATTGAACTAGATATCTCAGACTTCTAGCTACGGAATTCTATAATTCTCTCTAATAGCCTACAATTATGAAGAAGTGTTTTAACAATAGAAGTGATGGTGGTGGTGGTTGCATGCTGTCAAACCATTTCAAACTCATAGTGACCCTGTACAGGGCTTCTGAGGCTGTAAATCTTTACCTGAACAGAAAGCTTCAATTTTCTCCTGCAGAGCAACTGATGGGTTCAAACTGACGACCTTAAAATTAGCAACCCAATGCATAACCCACTATGCCACCAAGGCTCCCTAACAAAAGAAGTGTTGCTAAGGGTTATCCAGTCGATTCTGACTCACAGTGCTACTATAGGGTGGTTCCTAAGTAGCTAGTGGTGGGTTTGAACCCCTGACCTTATGGTTAGCAGTTTAATGCTTATCCTACAGCACCACATGAGAATTCCAGAGCAGAAGAAGTGGTGGCCATAAATATAGCAATGACACTATGAACTAAAGGAGCTCTGGTGGTGTAGTAGGTTATGAGTTGTGCTGTTAACTGCAAGGTCAGAAGTTCGAATCCACCAGCAACTCTGCAAGGCAGAAAGATGAAGCTTCCTGCTCCCATAAAGACTGCAGCCTTGGAAACCCTATACAACATCACTATGAGTTGGAATCGGCTGGACAGCCCACCACCACCACTATGAACCAAATTCTTGCTACAGACCTTTCAAGAAAAAGGCTCAATAACCCCCTTGCATAATCTCCCCGCAACTACCACCTTACAGAAATCCTGTTCCATGTGGTTTCCCTTCTTCCCAGTCACTGCATTCCTAAGAGTCTTATCTTCTGGTAGTTTTGCAACTACTCAATACCACTAATATAAACACCGTATGTAACCCTAGTTGAAGGTGGGCTTCAGGATTCCTCAATGTCTGACTTCATTTCTCTTTAATTATGTGTCATTACAGAATAAACTGAAATTTCTTGGGACAGCAAATTCTTCACTTTCTAATTTCTTGAAATTCCCCAAATGCTACTGTGCTGGGCCCTGGTATAGAACAGTAGGATAAACACTGGACTGCTAACTGCACTAGCCACAAAGTCAGCAGTTCAAACACACCAGCTGCTCTCAGAAACCCTATATGGGGTCGCTATGAGTCAGAACCAAATAGACAACACACAACAACTGTTCTAGCAAAGAAGTCACTCATATTCTGTTGGTCTTTCAAAAGACCAAACCCTAAAAAAAAAAAAATAGAAAGAATAATCTATTCACATGTACACAGAAAGAAAAAAGTGAATTAGGTAAATAAATATTTAGGACAAAGAACATAAATGAAAGGAAGAAAAGAAAGAGAGAGAAAAGACCAAACTCTAATATGAAATAATGTATTCTAGAATTCAGATTTGATAACTCCGTGATCTCCTCAGTGGGCTACCATAGTGACCATCACCTTAATGTGATCTGCAATCTGACAGTAGAATGTGAATGACTAAATAGGTCATTAAGCATCTTCCATGGAATGAGGCTAGCTATCGGGAAAACTGAAAGTTCAACTTTTAGGAACTTTCTAAATGATCATAATAATGATTTGAATTTTAACTAACTAGAAAAAGACTATATTGTTGCTTCTAATGCAGGTGTTAGGTACGGGGCTGTTGATCACAAGGCTAAAGGTTCAAAACCACCCAGCCACTCTGAGGGGAAAGGTGAAGCTGTCTGTTCCCATAAAGATCGACACAGTCTCAGAAGAGAGGCAGAATTGACTCGGGGGCAATGTGTTTTTAAAGCAGACTTCTAAATAGAAGGAACTATACCTAACCTAAGCTGCCTTTGGTAAAGTGTAGTACAACCAAGTATTGAAAAAAGAAAACAGGAAAAAAAAAAAAAAAAAAAAGCTAATAGAAAAACTTTCTACTTCCTATAAACACTTCCCAATTTTTAAAAATGATAAAAGGAGCGTTTAGTCGATAAACACTTTATTTCTTACCTGCACAGGCTTTCTGCAGCCAGGGACTCTAGCACCACAGCAAGAATATGCTTTAAGTTTCTATGCTTTAGTTCCGTTAAGATGTCCAGTTTTTCTAGACCCATTTTCTTGCCAATCAGCCCTGCAAGGACACACTGCAGTGCAGCTATGTTCCCCTCATCTCTTTCTTCTAAGAATTTGTGTGTACTATTTTGCTGGTATCTTTTCCTTTTGCTGTTCATGAACAATTCCTGTACTAGCTGCAAAGCTGGCGTGTTTGATACATTCTTAACACTTAAAATCCAGTCTCTACTCTCCGAGAGGTCGGCAGCAGCTGCTGGTGTAGTTTCAGAGCTGGAGTGGGCAATCTGCTTTTCTTCTTCTGTCTCTGACTGTGAGCCCTGCTCCCTAAGGGTGGACAGTCTTCTCAATCTGACAAGACGCCTTGACTTTCCTATGGAGTCCCCCGCTCTGAGAGCTCCCTTATGTTTCTGAAGTAGTTCTTGAAAAGAACCCTCCTGGTCAGAGGCAGAATCTTCTGATTTATCCAGACTCAGTGAATTAAAACCACTGTCTTCAGGTGTTGAAGCATTGCCTCTCACTTCAGTTGGAGGAGGTGGTGTTTGACGTGTGTTAAATTTAATGTTTTCAACAAGATGACTTATTGGAGTTACAAATACGTCTTCATCTGTTCCATGAGTTTTTCTGCTAACAGAGGAGCCCAGAAGTTCAGGATATGTGTTCTCATCATTAAGACTTAAACTGCTATCACTGAAGGCATGTGTGATAGAGTCTTTAGAAGTACTGCCCTGAATTGGAGAGATACATTCAACTTCAAATAAGCTACAATCATCTTTGGAATCATCAATTGTGGAAGTCTTCTGTTGTGAAAAATTAAGTCTCAATTTTTGACTGCTGGAAGTAGCTTCTTCTGTTCTTAAAGTGCTGGTAACTAAAGGACTAAAATTATTTTGCCTTGGAGACCTTGAGGCACTGCTTGGAATTCTTTTTTCTACACTGAGAACTTGGCTTTCACTACTTTCTATAGAAGTATTTTGTGATTCAACGTCCCCCTGTAGAAGGGCAAAAGATCGATTTAACCTTCTGCGTAGTAAACATTTTTTCCCACTAACTTTAGGAGTCTCACAAAGTTCTGGAGATTTCTCCTTTTCCTTCCAAGGAAAGATAAACCTCTTTTTTTGAGAGGGAGATTCTACAGGATGCATTAAGTCCAGGCTTGAAGTTTCAGGATGTTCATGGACTAATGTTGGACCTTCTTCTTTCTTTCCAAAAATTTCTTTACCTGTATTATCAAATCTGAAAATTTGTAATAACTCATTGTAGCCACTATCTTGCAGTGAAGGTGTGAGACAAATATCTCTAAAGCTGGAGTATTTCAAGTCCACCGTGGGGGAGTCCCCCTCATTCACTGCTGCAGTGCTAGCTGGAACAGAGGGTTTTTCCATCTTCAAAATCTGTTTCTACAAAGTGAAAACAATTTTTGTTCTTCCTTAGGAAGAAGTAGCCAGGCAAGTTATACCAAAATGTATTATTTGTCTTAAGTATTCAGACAGTTGTAGAAAATTTTGCCGGGGCGGGGTCGGGGGTAAGTTACTTTAAATAGTATATCGATAGAGAATCCAGAAATTCACCCATCCACATACAACCAACTGATTTTTTACAAAGTACCTAAATATATCACATGGGGAGGTGATAGTCTCTTCAACTGATGGTGCTGGCAAAACTGGAAAGCGATATGCAAAAGACTGAAACAAGACCTTTACCTCACACTTTATACAAAA